TGGAGGAGGGCCACCTGATCCATATCAGACTGTGATGTGAGCAAGAAATAAACCTGTATTGTGTTTAGCCACTAAGATGTTTGGGGTTGTTTGTTACAACAGCTCTTGTTACTGATCCTGACTCATACAGGCAGATGACACAGACCTGGGGAGCACACTGAATCCTAGTTGGACCATAGTGTGCCAGGGGAATCATTGCCGGGCCGTGCGTGACAACCAGTGTCTAATAAGAAAGACAGAGCTGGAGCACCTGGCACACAGTGGGTGCTCAGCAAAATTGGTTGAATGCGTGAAATACACAAGAACATCAGAAAGGCTTTGCAGCGGGAGCTGAAGTCACCAGAGACCCAGAGGATGAGTGGGGTTTGAATGGGGGGTGGGAGTAGAAACAGTGACCCTGGGAATAAAGACAGACCGGTGAGAAAGGGCAAAACCCGTCCAGGGGTCAGAGGTCGGTGAGCAGTCACCCTGGCCCAAGCAAGGGAGTCGTCAGAGATGGAAGAGAACTCAGAGGCCCTCAAATTGCCAAGCTGAGCAATTTAGACCCTAGGCTCTGGGCCAGTGGTCTCCAAAATGGAGTGTGCACAACAATCTATTGGAGTACAGAAAGGAAATATTAAAATTCCCATTGATATTTCTCTCACGCCTCTAAATGTCTGTTTTTTAGTGTGTATGAAGATACTAAGCCTCAGAGAGGTTGAGTAACTCACCCAAGGTCACACAGCCGGTAAGCGTGTCACACTCCAAAGCTGTGCTCTTCACATACGCTGAGTCTTGTGCAAACAGGTGAGAGGTTGAGTGGGGGCAGAGGCAGGTCTAGGGAAGGGTGGCTGGGAGGAGTAGACAGCCCCCAGCCCTGGCTGTCCCTGCCTTAGCAACAGGCCAGCAGCCCATTGTGGGCAGAGGCCAAGGAGCATGCCCAGGCCTGCCCCCAGGACCTGTTGAGAGAAGCCGAGCAGACAGCCTCGATGGGTGTAGGCCTGCCCCAGAGCCTTTCACCCCAGGCTTCCTTCTCACAATTCCTTCTCACCTTTGTGAGCAGGAGCAGATGGACCAGGGGCTGAGAGGTCAGGATGGGCTGACAGAGAGCAATGGGGAAGAGTTTGGTACATCGGCCGCTCTGCCACCCCCACATGCTCAGCTGCCAACCCCCATGGCCCAGGGAACCCAGACACCAGCCCCACCCTGCTTTCCCACACTTCCCTGTGCTGAATTTGTGGGTGACGTCTACCTTCTGATTTATATTGCTAAAAAAACCCAAATGGAAACTATTACCAATTATAAGAATAAAGCAAATGTTTTAATTGAAATATAACATACATACGGAAAAATGCACTTAGTCTAACAGTGTTGCAGGGTGAATTTTTACAAACCGAACACACTCAAGGGTAACTAACACCTGCATCAAGAAATAAAACATTTACCAGCCCCCAGGGACTCCTTTGTGTGCCCTCCAGTCACTGCCCCTCATCAGCAACGGCTGCCCTGAACCAGTTTCTGAACTTCATGGGGATGGAATCAAGTGGAGTCTGGGCTCCACTGCGTGTGCTTTATTTTGTCCACCATTAGGTTGGGCTGCACAGCACCGCACAGCGTGCATTTCCACATTTTATTGGTCTATTCTACTTTTGGGGGACATTTGAGTTGTCCCCAGTTTTTGTGTGTTTTGAGTATTGGTGCTATGAACGTTTTGCACATTTCTTTGAGTACACACCTATGGCAGGCATGCATTTTGCTTTAAAAAAGCCCTTTCCATTTTAAAAGAAAATGTGCCTTACTGTTTTGTTTTTGCCTTAATCAAGTTTATTGAGGTGTAATTAACTATGATAAAACACACCTATTTTGAGTATGTGGGTTGATGGCTTTTGACAAACATAATGCACCCATGTAAACACCACCACAATCAAGATTCAGAACGCTTCTATGCTCCCAGAACGTTTCCTCGTATCCCTTTGCAATTATTGCCCCCCACCCCCTGCTCCCCAGGCAACTACTGATTTGATTTCTATCAGTATATATTAGTTCTCCTGTTCTCGAACTTCCTATAAATGGAATCATACAGCAAGTACTTGCTTGTGTCTGGCTTCTTTCCCTCGGCGTAAGATCTGCGAGATTGCGTTTATTGGTTCATCTACGCTGTTGCCTCGAGCAGCTGCTGCTTTTTATTGCGTAAGTTGTATGAACGCATCATAGTTCATGCATCCACTCTGTTGATGGACATTTAGGCTGTTTGCACTTGGGTTATAATGAATAGTGCTGCTATCATCATTCAGGTACAGCTGTATGTGGACACATGTTTTCATCCCTGTTGGATAAACACCTAGAAGCTGAATTGCTGGTTCATAGGGTAAGTGCACACCTAAGCTTCCGAGAGACTGCCATGCTGTTGTAAAGTGAACCACTTTACACTCTCAGCAATGAATGACAGGGCACTTGCTCCACATCCCCTTGTCAACACTTGGTGTTGCCCGGTTCTTTGATTTTAGCCATTCTAGCAGGTCTGAAGGGCAATCTCGTTGGGGTTTGAATTTGCATTTACCTAATGACTAATGATGTTGAGCATCTTTTCACGTGCGTATTGGCCATCTGTACATTTCCTTTGGTGAACTGTCTGTTCAAGTCTTCCTGCTTTTGCTATTTCCCCCCTCCCATTCCACTGCCCCTCCCCCTGCCATCTGCACCCTCTGTACCCTCTTCTTTTAGGTGAAACAGTCTCCAAACTGGTCTCCTGCACGCCAGCCGCTGCTCTATTGTGCCCGATGAACCTTCCTAAACACCACACTACATAAGTCACTCCTCTGCTCTAAAACCTGCCATGGCTCCCCAAGCCTTCAGGGGCAAGCCTCAGCTTCTCAGTCTGCCATTCGTGGCACCTCCTGCTCCCAGCCTTTCTCTCTTGCCTTCCCTAACAATCTCCTAACAATCCTCCTAATCTTCCCTAACAAACTCGTTTCCTGCCTGGTGCCCTGAGGACCCAGAATGCCTTGTTCCCTTCCTTCTCCCCAGATTGAAGTCTGTTCTAAATTAAGCCTACCTCTCTCCAGGGAGGCTGCCAGCCAGCCCCACCCCACGGGGATTCCTGGCTCCTCCGAGCTCAGCCTTTGCCTCCTTACAGTGCCTCTTAGATGTCCAGAGGGCAGCCAAGGCTTGGAGAGGGCGTCTTGGTACCACGATCTCCCTAGTTTATATAATAAAACCAGCAGCATTCCACCTTTATAAAATTAGGTATTACATGTTAATATCAAATATGTTTTGAAAAATTGTATGTATTCCCTCCCTGAAAATTCCAGTGTGTCTGAGAGGGAGGGACTCGAAGGTGGGGTAGGAAAGGGAAGGGCACCTCCTTATTCTCTGTCCTAAGAATCTCTAATACAAACAAAAGATAATTGGATTTGGAGGAGACAGCCGGGATCTGAGTACTAGTTCTGCCACTTAGTAACTGTGGGTGGCTGTTGGGCAGATAGTTCATCTCTCTGGGCCTCCGTCATTGAATGGGGTGACGCCATCCTCACTGAGTTATGGGGAATACGCAAAACCTAATAAACACGTGAAAGTCATTGGTACACTAAGGAGCCAGACCTCTGTGTGTGTGTGTGTGTGTGCGTGTGGGCGTGCATGTGGTGAGAATTGGTCTATTACATGGGTAAGCCCCTGAGAATACAGACCCGGTAAAGAAATCTTGCCCTTTTATACAGAATTGGAGGGACAAACTCATAAGAATTCATGAAGGAAAAGCCAAGGAAGACAGAAGGAGTCAGCCGTCAGTGTCCTTGACTCTCCTTCACAATTTGCCTCTCCTCCACCTCCCTCTCTCTCTCTCCTGTTCCTCCTGCTTGTCTTCCTCCTTCCCAAAGTTCTGCAGCTGAAAATGCTGCTGCCCACCCCATACCAGACCCCAGACCTCATTTTTAAAGAGACTTAAATGTGAGACCAGGGGGAAAGTAAAACAAAACAGAAAAAGAAGAAAGGACCCTCAAGAACCCAGAGGAGAGTTTGCCGAGCACAGTGGCTTGTGCTTGGAGGGCCAAGGTCAGCCTCCAGCAGCACTGGGTCTGGGCCTGGGCAGATGGGTAGGGCCAGGACAGGTGTGGCTCCCAAGTCTCGGGGGGCTGTTTGCTGTGGCCCCGGTTTGGGCCCTGGGTGCACACCTGGGCACCCTTGAGTGAGAGGAATTGCAGAGCGATCCCACCCAGAATGGTGGCCTCTGGATGTGTTTTCTTTGTAGCTGTCCCTTCTCACCCCAAAAATCACTGGGCTGGAGAGCCAACTCTCCATGGGTTACTGGCCAAAGCCAGACTCATAGGGGACCCCCACTCCCCCATCTGCCTGAGTCAGGCGAGTCTTTGAACTGTCTGCCCCAAGAATTTAAAAATGTTTATGTGCTGAGCACTGCTCCAGGTACTGAAGATACAGCTTGAGCAAAAGGGGCAAGGGGAGGCCCTGTGGGCACCAGTCTGCCGGCAGAGATAGGGAACAGACGTCCTCCTGTCATGTGCGGGGGCGCCTGCTAAGTGCTAAGAAAAACACTCAGGCTATGCAGTGAAAATGCTACAACAAACCCGAGCAGGGTGCGGGGGCAGGGAGAACGCGAGGGAGTTATTTGGGGTCAGGAGGTCAGGGACGGCCGTCGTGCGTCTCCTCTGGTCTCCACGCCGCTCCCCTGCCCTGTCCTCTCTACCCAGGGGCTATTCTCGCTCAGAGGTCGCCTCCCCACCCCGGGCATCTGTCCAAAACTCCTGCGGGTGATTCTGGTCCCAACTGCCAGGAGGGTGCCCCCAGCCCGGGCCGGGTCGCCAAGGGCGCGCTGCAGGAGGCGCTCGGATGCCCAGCACGCACGAACCGTGACACCCGGGACCGCGTGTCCCCAGCCGAGCGCGTGACTCCGCCCCGGCCCGCCCCCGCCCGCGCCTGGCGCCCCGCGCCTCGCCCGGCGCCGCAGACGCTCTGCGGGTTCCCCGAGTCCCCCGAGTCTTCCCAGGCCCCTGGCCAGCGCGGAGGCCATGGAGCCGGCGCGCGACGCGCCCCTCGAGAGCGGCGGGGCCGAGGCGCTGCTGGGCGAGCTGGAGGCGCTGGTCCAGGACGTGGTGAGGGCGAGCTCGTGGTGGGAGCGCCACGGCGTGGACTGCGCCATCCTCGCGCTCAGCCTTTTCGCCTTGCCGGCCGGTGAGGAGCACGGGGACAGGGCGACAGCGAGCAGGGCTGGGGTTGGTGGTGTCGCGGGGTAGGGTGATGGAGAGGGCTGGGGGAGACGGCTTGTGCCCAGAACCTCGGACAGAGGGTTATACCCCAAACCTGAAAGTCTAGTTGGGGTGCTCTGCCCTCTGTCCCCAGAGGATGGGGCACTGGAGGAGGCATGAAGGGCAGTGGAGGGGAAAGTTGAGAGGAGTCAGGGGCGGGATGACCTGGGGGGCGGGGAGGTTCCTTGGGGGACACCAGGATGGAGTGAGGAGGGAGGGGGAGAGTTTCCCCTGGACCCCTCTAGATCTATACCCCCACCATGTGGCAGGCCTGTCGCTGCCCTGGCTGGGCTGTATAATAAAACTCTCGGAGTCTCCTTGGAGAGTCACTGGGGCTCTGTTTTGGCCCAAATACTGGAGAGAGAGCTAACCTGTCCCTGTCGGGCCATAGTGAGACCTGCCTCATGGTGCCTGTGGCAGCCGGCGGGGCCAGCACACTTCAGCCTGGGCTCCCAGGGGTGGGGGCTGGGGTGTCTGGGCCCAGATCTCCAAGAACTGGAGAAACACCCTGCCCACCCCTACCTCCACTCTCCCTCCGTGCAGGGTTCCTGTGCCTGCGCTCTGAGAATGTCCTGGTCTTTGCCCTGGGTGTTACCATCCTGGGTGTGTGCCACTACACGCTCACTGTCAAGGGCAGCCACCTGGCCATTCACGGTGCCCTCACCGAGTCGAAACGCTGGAGCAAGATCTGGGCGCTTTTCTTTGTGGAGGTGAGCCTGGGAGGGGGCAGGGGTGGCTGTGGTACCCTGTGGGCAACCACATTGTTCTGGGCGAGGTCTGTCTGTACAGCTGTGTGTGCCCACATGGGCAGAGAGCTACAGCAGTTGGTCTGTGGGTCCAAGTGTGCAGCGTGCACCACAGTGTGTGTGTGTGTGTGTGAGTGTGCACGTCCCCAAGCCATTGGGAGGGTGCTTGCACTGGGGGGCAGAGAACCGTGTGAGGAATGTACGAGTGTTTACTTAGGATAGTGCACTTGGCCTGGGCACTCCTGTTTTCCCTGGGGGTGTCCTCTCGCCTCTCTGCAGCACTGGGCCAAGTGATGATATAGCTTCCTCCTCCCGCCAGGACACCTGTGGTGGCAGGTCCTGGTATGTGATTGTCCTGGCTGCAGCCTTTGGGGCCTCCTGGTTTTGCCATTAGGGTTTATAATGTGAGCCACAGACAGAGGGGAGGAGGAGCAGGGGCCTGGTATCGCAGGGTCCCAGCTCCAGAACATGCCCCCCCATGCCTGGCGATGGCTGAGCCGTCCTGAGAGGCCCCCTGCTCCTCCAGGTCTGCTCCAGGAAGGACCCTTCTCTCCTGACCCTTGACCCCCATCCACTCCCTCCCTATCCTGCCTCAGCTTCTTGCCCACGGGCAAGGCCAGGAAGGCAGAGGTTTCTGGCCAGGTTGTCCTTCTTTCTGGACTTGTCTCAGGCTTCTCCAGTTCCTCTGTGGATCTGCCCCCTCCCTCCCTTCCAGATGGACCCTCACCTGGCCACCCAGGTCCCTTATGAACAAATATGAGAGCTGGTACCAGAAACAGTCCTTTTCTGCCAGGGCCTGGCTACGGTAACTAATTAAGTCAATTATTAACTTTTAATAAAGTTATGTAATTTTTATAAAACTTTATATAACTATACACACACATGTATGACATTGTGTAAAATTATACCACATCAGCTGAATGGGAGGAGACATTTCTTGCCTAGCATTCTCCTTTTCCTCCTTTTTTCCCTTCCCTTCCTCTTGCACCGGCACACATTTCTAAAGAGCAGAGGACAAGAGGAACCAACAGTTTCCTGATCCCCAGAGTCCATTTCAAGACACTTCCCTTCCCAGGGACCTCTGGGCACTGGTCCCAGCCAGGCTCTGAGGCAGGGGCCAGACCCTGGAGCTGGGGTCAGGTGTCCCCCAAGTTGGTAAGCACAGGCAGGGGAGCAACTGGGCAGTGCTGTGTGGTCAGGGGTAGGATTAGCTGTTTCAATTTTTCAGAGCTGAACTGAGAGCCCGGAGCCTGGGGCAGCAGAGGAGGAGCAGGTGTGGTGGATGTGGGAGTGCCAGCCTGCAGGGCATTTGACACACAGGGATGGCCCGGTGGTTCTCAGGCTTTGGCATGCAGCTGAATGACCTGGCTTGCTGGAGGAGAGGCCCCGGCTGCTAGAGTTAGCAGGTTCCCCAGGAGAATCTGACACCCAGCAAAGTTTGAGAACCCCCTGGCCTAGACTGCCTGGGGAACGCAGTCCCTATCGTGGGTGCTGAGTGATGGCAGGGAGCTGAGGACGCCTTCACGGAGAAGCCTTCCCAGGTTCCCCAGCTGGAGAGCTCTACCAGGACCACAGCGCAGGGAGGAGGCGGTGGCGGCGTGCTGTGGTGGCGGCGTGCTGTGATGCCGGCTGGCGTGCTGCAGTCAGCTCCAGGGCGGGTCACACTGATTTGTCACTCAGGCACTGGCTAAGCTGTGTGGGAGGCCTCCTGCTTTTCCGCCCCACAAGGTGTGGCTCTGGCCACCTCTGGGGAGGGTCCAGTTCCCAGTGTGGAGGAAGGGATGGCTCAGTCTCCTCAGCCCACTGGCATGGAGTCCTTGGTCTTGTCAGCCAGGCAGGGGACAGTGTTCGGGCACAGCCTTTGGACACACTGGCTGCCTGACCTTGGGCAAGTTACTTAATTCAGCATCTAAGTGTTAGCTTCTCCTAATGAATGGGAATAATAACATTACGTTCCTCCTGAAGCCAGAGTGAGGATTAGATGAGGCAGCGTCGATCTGAATTTAGGGCCTGGGCCGGACTCTTGGATGCTCACCAAGTGTTAGTGTCCCTTTTTCTCTCTGGAAGGAACCTGCCGTCAGCTGCAAGGAAAGGGATAGGGGTTTTTCTCGTTTGTTTTTAAGGGAAAGGTTGACAGCGTTGTGTGTTGGTGTGTGTATGTGCGCGTGTGTTGAGGGAGCTGTTTGCTGTGACCCTGGTGCACCCACCTGTTCTCGGCATGGCACAAAGGACAAGCTCTGGCTGCCCAGGATCTCAGCGGACGGCCGGGGACCTCCCTGGATCCCTGCCTCTCCACTTCTGCCACGTCCTGATGTCTTCCCTCTTTGATCTTCCTTTTGTTGGGTGCCTGTGCTCTTCCCAAACCTTGACCCTCAGGAGACACTGTCACTACAGAATGACCTAGTCCTCTAGTCTGCAGCCTCAGGTGTCAGCTGAGTATCATTGGCTTTCCTGGGGCGCCTGGTGGTTGCTGGGTTTGTCTCAGGGTCTGCTGGCTTGAGCTGAGGGTGGGACAAGGACTCCCCCGCTCTGACCCGTTGGATCTGGGGGCTGGGGCGGCAGGATGGAGGGGGCGGCTGATGCTCCAGGTTGTTTTTGTTTCTCGGCTAAAGGATCAAAAATCATACACACCTCCCCACACTAGCATGAACTTCCCTCTGAAGACCCATCTCCAGTCCACAAGAGAACGTTCCATTCCTCCTACTGATGTATCTCTGGCCCTTTCCCCAGCCCACTGTAGCCCCAGCCTTCCCCTGCGAGGCCACCCACCCCTCCCTGTCCTGGGTTATGTCACCGGGACTGCCAGTTACATTGTTGGGGACTGCCAGTGAAGGGCCACAGGAGGATGGGGTGCAGGGCCACCATGATTTAAGTACCGAAGCTTGGGGAGGATTAACTCCTGAAATCAGAGGACTTTAGGACTCTCTTGCATGTCACAATCAAGATGCTCCCCGAGTGGGCGGGGACAGGCTGTGCCACTTGCTAAGCGCTTTATTGTGTCTCTACTTTAAACCCTCCTCCAGAACCAAGAACCCTCAGCCTGTTCACAATTCTCGAATGTTCTTTTCCCACGAGTTCAGTGTGACCATTATCCTCTGGGCCGTCTCTCTGATCTTCTCTCTGTCCCCACCCAAACCCCGAGGGGTGTTAGTCTGATTTTTTTATTTTAAAAATTTATTTTAAAAATATGATTTTTTATTTAAAAAAATTTATTTAGAGGGCTCAGGTCTGCAGTACAAAATATACTTTTGTAAAAAAATTTTCAGTTTTGAAATAATTAAAGATTCACAGGATGTTGCAAAAATAGGACAGAGAGGTCAGGTGTAGTCTTCACCTAGTTTGTTCCAATAGATACATATTTGCAGAACCAGGAAATTGACGTTAGTATAGTGTGTGTGTGTGTGTGTGTGTGTGTGTGTGTGTGTGTAGGTGTGGGTGTGTGTAACCACATTCACCCTGAGCCAATCTTCCTCAGAAAACATAAAAAGTCCTGATTATACTAGTTAACCCTTCTTGAGTGCTGACTGTGTACTTTACATGAATCATCTCATTTAACATTCACACCTCCCTGTGAGGTTGAAGCTATTATTAAACCCACTTTGCAGATGAGGAAACACTGCTCTGGGAGGTTAAGTCACTTGCCCAAGGCCGCTCAGCTGGCGCATGGTGCAGCCTGGGCTCAAGGCACGCAGAATGTGGCTGGCGCACCAACGAGGTGGGGTGGAGGCTATGAGAGCACAGAGAGGAGAGCACGGCAGGGACACTGGCAATGTCTGCAGATATTTTTGACTCTCACACTGGGTGTGTGTGCGTGCGTGTGTGTGTATTACTGGCGTCTAGTGAGTAGAGGCCAGGGATGCTGCTAAACATCTTACAGGACAGTCCTCATACAGAGAATGACCCAGCCCCAAAGGTCAGTGGAGCCGAGGCTGAGAACTCTTGGGCAGAGTGTCCAGAGGTGACGCTGCCAGGCCAGAAGCAGGAAGTTGGTTTCAGACGGAGCAGAAGTACAGACAAAAGCATATGTAGAGGAAACAGCACAGTGCATGAGGGACCCACAGAAATCTGGGCTCACTAGAATCTAATGGGGACCCTGGAGAAAGGGGAGCAGGGAGGCCCATGTGCCATCAGAGGAGCTGGGAGGTTCCCAAGGACAGGGCCTCAAAGGGGAGAGAATCTTGTGAGAGCTCCTCGAAGGGCTCAGCCCGGCCCGCATCCCGCCCGCTCCCATCAGGACGAGGCACCGGGGCTCCTCTGGCTTCGGCTCTTCTCTCATCCAGAGGTGCTAACACATCACCCTTTGCCCACAGAGCCTGCCCGAGAGGCTGCCTGGTCCCTGAGGACTCACACTCAGGGCCTGTATTCTCACTGAGCAGGGCTGCCAGATGGAGCAAATAAAAATACAGGACGCCCAGTAAAGTTGGAACTTCAGATAAACAATGAACGCAGGCAATATTCGGCATATACTTCTACAAAAAATGACTGGCTGTTTATCTGAAATTTGAATTTATTTGGATGTCTTATACTTTATCTGACAAACCAATTGTTGCGGCCCGTGGAGTCCTAGAGGCCCCCACCACTCTGAAGCCAGCCATGAAGGGGCTGCTCCGCCCCTGGGAATCAGTGAGAGAGTCTGGAGGGAGGAATGGGAGCTGGGCAGACTCCAGCCCAGAGTCCCTCCTGCCCGAGGGATGCTGCCCCTGGGACGACCCACAGTTCCTCCTACTCATCCTGTCCAGGCCTGCAGGCCTGGAGAATACAAGGATCCTGGGCCCATTCCTGGAGTGACCCCACTGTGCCCGGCCCTGAGCTGGAAACCTGACTGTTGCCCATGATCCTTCTTACTCCTCCCACTCCTCATCCTCCCCCCAGATCCTGCCTCCTGCATCCCTGCCCTTCCAGTCCTAAGCATCTCTCAGCTTGCCCATACCAACAGCCTCTGGCCCTTCACCTGCCTCGTCTTG